TGTTAAACTTCTCTGAGGAACTTACGGCTTGAAGATAGGCGCTTACGCGTTAAACTTCTCCTCAGGAAATGCTGCCGCTGCCCTTAGTGGCTGGAGTAGCTGGGGGGTAGCTGAAACCAGGAACAGTCTCAAGCTATCTAGGAGCTTGTGTTTAGTAACGAAGTCTTAATTATGGTAAAAGCTGCTGTCTCTTACTGGGTTTCCAACTTTTTCCCTAGTTCTCTTGGAGCAATGAAGAAAAACACGGGTCTGACTACTTCCTGCCTGGTTTTGTCCTTGTCACCAGCATCGAGAGGGTTTGGGAGGGAAAGCGAACATCCCCTGGGTAGGGGCAGGCATGGCGGGGTGAGAGCGGCGGGCAGCAGCAGGTTTTTCCTTGCTGACGGGATCTGAGCCTGTCAGCTGGGTGTTGTCAGCTCCGGGTAGCTTGAGACCGTGCAGTTCGAGTGCTTCTAATGACTGAGAAAACACTTATTGTAAAACTATTTCATTTAGCGTTTGCATCTGTTTGCAACATATTAACAGCTGGATGAGGTGTAGTGTTAAAAGGTAATGAAAGAACTCCTTTTGCTGTTTTGAATGACTTTTACACCATTGCTGTGCGTTGCTGGTTTTATTGTAGTTGCAAAACCACGCTAGTAGCCAGCTTACCTAAGTCTATGCAATGTAATAAACTTAAAACTTGCACCAACGGCCATTAATTTGGAAAATCCTGGATGTGCTGTCCTGTAAATGGAGCAACCCTAGCACGAGGTAGACCTCTAATGAAAGCTGATGCATGTTTTACAATTTTCCTTATTACTTTATGGCTCTTTAAAATTTGCATGCTCTTCTATTCAAGAGTAATACTGGTTTACAACGATAGGCTTCATGTTCATTTCAGTGCACTGTAAGCTGTCCCTGCAGGAGTTTGGGTTTTTACCAAAAATGTCCTATGTCACTCATACAGTTACAAACAGGAACATAAGTCTCTTGTGTTTCATCTTCATTTTAGACACTACAGTTACACTACTGTCTAAAGTAGTCTAGCAGATTCTATTATTTCACTGATTTTTTTTTTTTAAGCATGGTGTGTTGTGACAATTTTCCTGAGACAGCCTTTCAGATCTTGTGCACAAGAAGGTTCACATTGCCTACTTCAGTCAGGAACTGTGATAGCTAGTCATGTAATTCTCCCAGGATTTTAAGATCTTCCCAGGCTACTTTTACTAGAAGGCTATATTATTCTCAAACACTATTGATATCTGGCAGTATTTTCAAATAGGTGTTTCAGATATTTGCCTTGACCAAATGCAATTAGTTAAATATATTAGCACAAGCTGAAAATAGAATAATAGAATGAAGTGTTGACTTCTAAGTGTGTAATGTTAGTTTAATAGTGTAATACAAAATTACTTCATAGCACTTTATTAACTTTCTTAGATGTACCCATCTACTCTTAAATTTTACTTTTTTGAGTAAGTGATCCTGCTTGTGGAATTCTGTCTTGTTTCCTTTCGCAGTAAGTATGCATAAGGCATGTGCACTCCATTTACAGAAATTCTGTTCATTTCAAAACCCACTAGGAATGCTCTTTCTATCTGTGGATACTTCATGCTCATGCTGCTCGGTGTTTGCAGCTTAGAAAACCAAAAACACAATGCTTGCCTACATTTCTTGTGGATTAGTATTTTCTAGATCAGTTTAAGGACAAATAGCCCATTGAATATGTTTCAGCAGCTGTTTGTGTTGTGAATGGGAGTTGTTATTCAACATATTGCTCTTTTATTTGGTGGCGTATGTTGTAATTATTGCAGAAGAGTTATCACGGTACTTGCTTAGAATACCTTTTCTTACAAGTTCTCTCTTTTAAACTGTGGATGGCTTTGCCTGTTTGAGTTATTACTAATACTGGACTGTGAGCCAGTTTCTGCTGGCTTAAGAATGCTGTTAGGACACTGTTGGGTGTCTTCCCTCCCCATGCTTTATACATTAACTGTTTTCTTTCAGTTTGTGTCATCTTGCTTCCAGAAACTTGCCATTTGAGTTGGAGTGAAGATTAATGATGGTAGAGTCTTTCACACTTACTAGGGCTACCCCAGGTGTCTTGAATAAAGCACGTGTAATGCTTGTTTAGCATATCATGCAGTTAAAATGCTGACATAAGGATTTCATTAGTTTTCAGTTTATCACCTTTCACAAGGTTGTATTTAAATAGGCTAATATTTGACTTTCCTGTTTTACTGGACTTCTTAATTTGTCTAATTACTGAATCTATTGCTTCAGATTTTCTGTAATCCATCACACTTCTTTGACCACATCATCATCTCCTTGGTCATGAGTGTATCTACTTGCCTAACGTTATTCTAGCTATTTTACTGACTTGAAGAGGGGAGGTCTGCTGCTTTTCAGCATGAATGTCAGTGAATAGAAACTGGCTAGTGTGACTGTAGCAGAGGTTATGAGACACGGTTAATGTGTTGTAGTAAGAGCAAGGCAATGGCATATAGGGAGGTGTAATGCATGTGGTTACATTCTGTCTTGTATATTATACCTGGTTGATAACAGCTGCAGAATGTGGTAAGTTATGCCTACGTTTCTGTGAGTCTCAAGAAAATGGTATCTGGGTAGAGATGAAATAACCCGATTTAGTGTTCCCACTTGAAGGAAGGGTGATTACAACTTAGCTACTGAGCTAGCACCTCTCTGGTCACTGGACTCAACAGCATGTGCACAGTGCTCAATCAGGCTATGTACTGCCAATTCCCTTCTTGCATGGCTAGGAGATGAGCAAGGGAAAAAATCAAGGATCATTTTTGTGCAGGTGGGAAGGAACACGTAATACTGAGGAGGAGAGGGATAAGGGGTTGTAAACTTGTTGGGAAACTGGGCTCCACTGATTTCCTTTGCTTATTAAATAGATAAAGGCTATTCTTAAGGTTTGTACTGTTATTTCTAGGTAACAACAGCTGTTGCAGTGCAGTGTTCTCTGTTCTTGCTGCTCTGCAAACATTCAGTGTGTTTAATAAGAAGTGCTTGCGGTTTTCCTTGAAATCCTGTAGTTTGGTTGGTTTGCAATGACCATGAAGGAAAGTTTTAGCCAATTGTTTCATCTTCTTGCATCTCGGATTCATGGAAGTTTTTTCTCAATCTGTTTTTTTGATATTACGAAATTGTCTAAGGTCATGTAGTGGAGACTTTATTTTGTTTATCTGTTCTCTTGATAAATATTTCTGATGGTTTTGGAAGGTGTTTATTTAGGTACATAGTTGAAATACCTGAAGTTTGGTAAGACTTCAAAGTGATGTGTAACCATGCAGGTATACAAACCTGTGAAAAGCATTTGTGTAACTGTATATTTAGCTGCCTTATAAAGCTAAACTTTCCCAGCTCTTCTGATGTCTAAAAACATGATTTGATGATTGACTTGGTACGAAAGTATGATTTTTTCCTAGCCAGACAGTGTAGTTGATGCTGAAATGGAATCTGAGATCTTCTTTGACAGAAATTTCCTTTCTCATTTATGTAGTACATGAAGATGGAATTTACAATTAAACACACCTGGGATGATTTACCTGTGAGCCATGAGCCAGTAACAATTGCGTTGAAGTCGGACAATGCAGGACTGTTAATGGAAGTTAATGCTCCCTTCTTTAATGATCCTCCAGCACCACTTGGAGAGCCAGGGAAACCTTTTAGTAGTCTGTGGGACTATGAGGGTAAGTGTAACTGTTCTGCTACAAATATATCCGATTTGTGTAGACACTGGTGTTCCTCTGTAGTTAGTATGCCTGGTCTTTATAGAAGAGTCTGTGATGGTTATTTTTTCAAACTGATCTGATGGTTGTGAGTGTATGGCATTCGGTTTCTTTGGTCACAGTACTGCTTTTAAAGATCAGATCTGAAATGTAAAGTAAAAAAAATTTCCTTTCTGTGGGGAAGAATACTGCTAAAGAATTCAGTTGTAATCACTGCCTTACCTTTAAACAGCTCTTTAAGTAACTATAAACCACATACTATATTCAGCTGTAAACCACCCCAAACTGTATCAAGAGTGATCCTCTTTTTCTAGGTGGTAAATTGATTTTCATCACTAACACTGCTGGCTATAAGATGACTGGTTGTTTTATTGTAGTGCAACAATACAAATGACTATGAAAAGAAGTGAATATGTTATGTCACTTGTTGGCCATAAAGAAGTGGAGTATGATGAGCTGGGTTGATTTCAAGAATGATCAAGTTGACTCTTCCTGATCCTGTCTATAGCATAGGCACTCAAACGTAGTTTCTGGATTACTGATGTAACTTGCAGAATAGCAGAAGCTTGACATATTTGAATATCAAAATAATTTTGTGGCATATGTATATAGAAATGCATTTGCAGTAGGTAAATAGAAGTGAAATCCTCAAGATAGGTTCTACCTTTGCTTTAAGAAGTAGAGAGCAATAACTAAAATATGTCTATTTTAATCACTTTTACAAAGTCTGTTTGAGGAATAGGAAGGTGAAAAACAAAGGACAGCTTATAAAATATGATTCATAACAGTACCCAAATGGAATGGGGAATATTCTTGTTGTAATGCTATTTTCTTTCTCCTTTCCTGTCAATACTTTCACTTTTACCTGTTGCTTTGAATAGTGCAAGAATTTAATGTTTCCAGCAGTTCTCTTTCTGATTATTGAGCTGTTCCGATTAAAGCTCTACTAGAACAGTATTAGCACCTCTTTGATAATATTATACTAAATAGGCTTATGTAAAAATAAAATAATGAATCTTATCTAATTATGATTCTAACTAAAGCTTTCTAATAATGCCATTGCTGTGAGAAACACCGATATAGTTGTGTTTTGTGTTCCTGAAAGGTGATTCAGCAGTGACATCTGGCTTTCAGATAGACCTGGAGTAGTAATACCCTGTCCAAAGTATCAGCCATCTGCAGGGAAAAGGCATTGGAAAGCTAAATGCTTTCTTACTGTTTCTGAGATTTAGCAGTCTTAGTTATGGGGTGTGTGCTCTGCTGCGAGTGTGTTTTCCTCTGTCCATTTTTCTTCTGGTCTCTGGTGCTCTGGATCCTCAGGCTACCAGCAAACACAAGACTTCTGCACTGAAATGCTCTACCTGGAGCGCATGCTGTGATGTATACTAGTATGATTGACTATATAGATCCTACAAATCCTAGTATGATTGACTAGGATCACTCTATCTTGGTCAGCTTTGTTCACAGCAAGCATACTAGGTGAAATAGCTGTGTGGTTGTGGTTTTCGTACTGCATTGGCACTTAACATTAGTTAGTAGACCTGCTGTTTTTCTGCTGCATCAAGATGAGTGTTTCCAAAGCTGGAGCTGGTAAAGTAAATAAAATTAGTATATTGCTTTATAAAGCTCTTTGTGATGATAGACATTAAAAAGAAAAGGTCTTGAAGTTACAATTATGGCACAGCTTTTCAAATAGTTAGGAAGCTGTCAGTAACATGTACACAGCTAGACAAACTCTGGCAGGGTACAGGCCAGAAATCATGAAAACAGAATTGGTTTAGTGGGATATGAAGGTGTCAGGCTATTACAAAATAGTTAATATAAAATACTGACAGCCTTTTTTTTCTGCAGTTGTAGAAGCATTTTTTCTGAGTGACAGAACTGAACAGTATTTAGAAGTTGAACTTTGTCCGTAAGTACAACACTGTGAAAAAGTCACAAATGTTAATTTGCATTTCTAGTAGTAATGCTTCTAAGATATATGTGTGAGGAAGACTGGGTACAGAAATTCTTCTGATTTGAGGAATGTACACACTTGTGGCAGAACAGTACACAAATAACTTGGCATCAGTTTAAGAAAATTGTGCTCCAATTCTTTTGACAGCCATGGACAACACTTGTTGCTGCTGCTTTCTGGCAGAAGAAGAGCATGGAAAGTAAGTGGTCAAGTACCTTCAGAATGTACAGAAAAACTAATTGATTTTATGTACATGTTGCCTGATTGGAAGGTGATACTACTTTTTTTTTTTTTTTCCCCCCTCCTTCCTTTAACAGGAAGAACTTCCTTTACAGTTTGAAGTGACCAAAATGAAAACCAAATGGGAGGGTAAAGCTCGTCTTCCTTGGAATTATTTTCCACCATGCACTAACAAGTTCAACGCATTTGCAATTCATGGCTCAGGAGAAGAAAGAAAATATGAAGCGCTTCATCCCGTGCCTCGACACGAACTCCAGGAAGGACAGAAACCAGATTTGTAAGCATGAAATTAGCCCTCTTGTAATGTAGTTGCACTATTCTTGGAATACTTAAAAAAGCTAATCTGATTTTCAGATTGAGTGCCACTAGTATTTTAATTATACTGCATAGCCCCAGATCCATTGGCACTGTGCTTTTTATAAAGCACTGTGGCAGATAGCTGTAATTAGTGCTTGGTTTCTATGTTATCCCCTAGGTGCGTAGCAAATGATGCATTCAACACCATTGGTATCTGTTTTATCACCTTCCTCAGCTATATCAGAGAGGTTGTTCTACTTTTTCCTTGCCTCCAGCACCTCCTGAAATGCCATTTAGTGTTAATTTCACCAGATACATTTCCAGTAAATCTCTTTTCCTTCTCCCCTACTGTTCTAAACAGCCTCACCTCTACACATGGCTCCATGTTATGGAAAAATTTGAAAAGGCAGACTAAACTGAAAAGCATAATAAAAGGATACCCAGTATCAATAGAAAAATTAGAATATCTTGATTTTTAAATTGTGCTTTGGTCTTGTTTATTTTTCTTTCACTGTGAGGCTGAGATGATTTGATAAAAACTGCTAGTTATGGGCATTTTGTGTATTAGCTCTAGAGGGTACACTATAGTTCTTATGCAAACTTGTTACTCAACGTACAATGACAGCCAGGTAAGGTAAATTTTAGATAAATTACCCTCTTTTGCCTTTGCTTAAGAAAGACTTAGCTTCTGCAACTCTTTATTTAAAAGAATTTGAAGCTATTGCTAGTAAAATACATTCTCTTTATCAGTGTTCTATAAGAAATAGATACTTTTATTTTTCTGTGGTAAACTGGAGGGTGCCTGTAATATTTTTCAGGAGGGGATTCTTTCTATAGCACTCATTCCAAAAAACCCCTTGACTTTCTCAGAAATTGGTAGCAGATGCAGTTATGTGAGGAGGTTGCTCCTTGCTACTTTAATTTCTCTCAGTTTGTCTTTAGTCTTACAAATTACTTTCTAATAAGAGAATTCCGTTTACCGTTTTAAATTATTAATGTAGTGTCGGATGTTCTGTCTACTGTTTGGCAGTTGTTTAATGTGTTGGCTTCAATGTCTTCCTTCTATTGTTTCTGTATGGTAGCCTAAAGGAGAAATTCTTACCAAGAACTGATTCATAATGTTTAAAGGAAAACGTGAATTCTGTTCTTCCAGAGAGATAAATTTACTAGCTTCATTACCCTATCCAGCCTTCCTCTTTTCTGTAAGGAAAGGATGTCCCTGTGATATGATTTTTCAGTTGGTCAAGAGCTGTAAATTTTTACTCCTAATGGAGTGCAGATACGTCATAAAGCAGGATATCATTGTGCTTTTGCTCTGACTGCAGTTCCAGGCAATGTAAGTTGAGGGAGCTGAAAACGTGAGCACTTTAACTTCACTTTATGCTGTGTGATACTTGTTCATAGCCGAGGATTTAGGCCTGTGTTTTCCAGTACAAGATTTTCAGAAACACGGTAGTGTTTTTTATTTATAAAATCAGGTTTTGGAAAATGTAAACATGGAATGCTGAATACATTCCTGTCCAAGAAAACCTGAAAATGAAGATTAATTAAACCTATTGAGGATACTGCCTTTTATTAAGACACATACTATGAGACTTACAATTTTTTTGATTTTTTTCTTCTCTCTTGGCAGTCATCGCCTGGAATTTTTCAGAGATTTGAACCTGAAAGCACTAATGGGAGAAGACTGGAAGCAGCCTGAGTCAGATATATGGAAGTCTCTCACTAATTACATGGATTGAGGCATAATTTTTTATAGCATTAAGGTTGGATGAAGCTGTATGGAAACAACTTCTTCATTCGGAGCAGAGTTTGTAAATATCAGATTAGTAAGTCTTTCCTTGACACCAAAAGCGTTGATCAACCTTAAAACCAGCTGAAGTATCTGGGTCAGTTGATTTTAAATGTACGAAGTATGCAACAGCTTGTGTTTCTGTTCTTCTGGTTAAGGAGTTTTTAATCTGTGCAGGGGATGAATCTGCTCCTGCCAATGAAGGAGGAAGAAATGTGCTAAAATTACAGCTCCATTTTCAGGGGAGCTCTAAGCCTGACAAGGCCAATATCTGGCTTGGAATCTTTCAGTTTCCTGTAGTTGCTGCATTGCTGCTGTATTTTCACTGCTATGTGTTTGTTTCTTGGATATTGAATGAGATTCCTACGTGTCTGTATTTTTGAATTGCGATAAGGAGAAAGAATGCCTCCTTCAGGAACAGAAAAGAATAAAACTATCATGGCATTCTGTGGCCCAGTACTTGCATTGCAAGATGATGTGAGGGTATAACACTAGCCTTTTCTGTACCTTCCTATACCTCAAGTTTTCCCTTGCACAGTGCTGAAGGTGGGACTTAATCTGTGTTACTTTATTAGCAGACCTCTCTGCTTCAAATTCAGTGTGGAATTTCTAGTGATATTTAGCTACAGAGGGTAGAAATACAAAAGGTTTTATGTATTCCAGGAAAAGTTTCTGGGAGAAATAGTGTTTAGTAAAATCTTTTGATATAGTTATGTGCCTGCAAAAGCTTGTTTGTTCCAAGACCTTGTCATATCACCTTAAGGATTCAGTTCAGATGTATGAGAATTTTGTTTGCATGCCACCTAATATTGGAAGTACTGTAGTTGTGTGTGCCTACATTTTCTACATATGGGCTTGAATATTTTTAACAGTACTGAATACAATTAGATGGTAACATCTGATCTGTAGACTTTCACAGAATTTACAAAGGAGATGTTCCTTTTTTGTCTAGCATAGTAAGTGCTGCTGGATTGTGGCTACTGACTTGATCCTATATAAATGAATGTAGCAAATGGGAAGCTTACCCACTAACCAGATCCTACTTCTGAATAGTAGGTGACTTTAAAATCAAACTTCTTTGCTTTAGTTTAGAATGAGGATTCAGAACAAGACATGGTCCTCAGTCCTTTACTAGGAAGAGGACTTCCTGTATCCTGTTGAAGTGTCATCATCACAGAGTGAAATCCGATCATCATCTTTAGTTTTGTGAGAAGGATTGTTTTAGGAGTCTGAGAGAATATGGCTCAGCCTTAATTGAGGTGATATTGGGCAGAAAGGCTTAGGTCATAGTGACACTGTTGAGTTTAGGCCTGACTACTTGGTACAGACAGTGTATGCCTTACTAACTACTATGCCCTTAAAGAGGAGCTAGCAGACTGATAAAAGGAGAACATCCTGCCCAGAAGGCGCTGAAAGCTGGATGGTTACTGAAGCAGCATAAAGTTAACAGAAATCTAGGGAGACTAGGAAAAACGTAAAGGTGGCAGGGGGAGATCGAGACCACTGACTCAGAACTAGAAAGACTGCACTCCCCCCAGCTTGTGAGCAGGTGTAGTTGAATAAAGAAGGAATATACCTTTAAGAACAGCGTATAATGCAATGAACCAGTCGGAATGTAATGAGTAATTTCTTTGTTTTTGTAAGAGTATATAGTCCTTGTGGCTCTGCTAAGTGGTGTGCTAGCTTTGTGGAATTATCACCTAGCACCTATAGCTGTGCAAATATGCAATAAAGACAGTATCTCTGCTCTGTGTGTATATTGGTTTATATTACCCACCGGGGGTGGGGTGGGGGGGTGGGGGAGTGGAGACAGCAGAGGGAGTATCCTTCAGAAGATATGCCCTGAGGATGTGGTGTTGAATCTCATCCTTTTGTGTGGCACTTTCTACTGAACAATTTAGAATTCTACAAGTTCCTGGAAGGGACTGGTGTTCTTGCAGTCTAACATCCTGCTCAAAGCAGGGCTGTTGCTGAAGCTAGATGAGTATGCTCAGGGCCTTGTTTGGAGTTTTGAATAGTTCCGAAGATGGAGCTTCAAATGCTCTGGGTAGCCTGTTTCAATACTCAACTGGTTCTGTAATGAAAACTTATCTAATTGCCATTTCCCACACTTCAACATGGGTCCTTTGTGTCGAGAGGAGTGGCTTTTTCTCAATAGGTACTGATTAGGTAACTGAAGATAACTCCCCATGGTTTCTTTAAATGTTATCATTCTTAGTTTTCCTTTTGTGACTCTGACTCTTTCCACTCACACAATACTGACAGACAACTTAAAAGTGTAACTTGTGTTGTAACTCAGAGGCAGCAATACTCCCAGGCCTTTCTTGTTTATTTAGCTCATAAATGGTTCTAAAAATCTTCTGTGTAGCTCTAGACATCAAAACGCCCATGAAGTTTTGCACAAGACTACTCTCGGTTATGTTACTAAAAGAATTCTCTGTTCTCTTGTGAGCTTGTATGCAGCAATAACCATAGTCTGATGATCATGTTTTCTTTGCTGTCTTTAAATTTAAAATTTACCTGCAAATTCTGCCTGAAAAGAAAAGAAATGGGGATATCCTGCCTTTGTGAAGAGCATGTCAGTATGGTTAAGATCACAGATAGAATGTTGAGAGTTTTTGTTTTGGTTTAGATTCGCTCTCTGTACTTCCATTTTTATAGAACTAGTGCACTTGGCCATCCAATTGTTTTTACTCTAATTAGACACTATAGATTCCTTGCTGTAAAGTGCCATCTGTTGAAAATTTGAAGTATTGTACATTCAATTGTTTGGCTTCTTTTCTACCTTCAATCCATGCACAGTTTTCTAAAGAATGACATCAGTCTGAAATATTGAATAATCCAATAAATTTTGATTAAAAACATCTTTTAGATGGTGACTCTCAAAGCTGCTTTTGAAAGTTCAGTCAAAAGGAAAAAAAAAGGCATTTCACGAAACTTTTAGACTTTGTTTTAGACAGTTTGTCAAAAAAGTGCGTGCAAAGGTTACTATTTTTCTCACAAAGGTTGTTTTCATGTGATGAATGATGTATCTTATACAAAGGACAGTAAATAAAATTATTTATTCAGAGGCTTCATCTCATTCATTCCTACTTCAGACTGACTACTTCAGATTTGACTTTGAGTACAAATTATAAACTTTGAGGGAATTACTTAATGTCCCTGAGTAATTTAAAGTAGAATAATTTTCTCTGCAGTACAAAATGTAATGCTAGATGCCTCTGAAAATGGGAATTACCATACAGACTTTATTCAAGGCACATGCTACTCCACACTGCTGTCAGTTGTTTTCACTTGTATGCTTCTAAGCTTTAAGAATCTGTTTGAACTCGAAGTGCTGGCTTCCATCAGATGGTTTCCATATGGGTTCATGAAGTGCAGTGTTAGAACCTGTGCATTGACTTCTTTCTAAAGGTTTACAGTTAAATTTATCCCTTGGTAGAAACTTGTAGGAGAAAGTCTTTACATAAGGCATATGTTAGGGGGAAGCACAGTGTCTTGGCACATAGTAGTGAATGCATAGCGCATCAATGGACAATACAATGCTTGCCAGCATCACTTAAAGCTCGCAGGACTTTGCAGGGGTGGGTATCAATGTTCATTGAGATGACTAGCGAGTTTGTAGCTTGCTTGCTCTGATCTGCTTTTTAACCAGGCCTTGTTTTACTCTGTGGAGTCCAGTTGTAGCCTGTCTTTCCTGAATTGCCTCTCTTTTTGATGACATACGAACATGAGGAAAAGACAAAACAAACTCTGTTCTGCATAAGTTCCATTTATGTATATGTTGATTCGTTGTTAATCATGGTCTAGAAGGTATGTGGTTCAATCCAGTCTAGCTCAGTGCGTGTGTGTATGTACATGCATACATATATATAGGCATTCAGCATTGTGCTGTTTCTGTATGTCGGGCTTGTGTGAAGAGTAATAAAGATAAAGTCTCTAAGCTGTCACACTGAATATACTTTATGTAGGATATCAGTGTGATAAAATGCAGAGCTGCACGATAGAAAGCATAGATCGTGTAAACACTCTGTCCACAACTCCATTTCACTTTGAGGTGGATTTAAACACTTCCTGTCCTGGCCAAACCCAGGACAGTATTAAAAATGTTTCCTGTGGATAATATTTGGCCTTGTGCCAGTTCTGTCATGTGACATAGTGAGTGGAGAGTCAAAGATGCAGGAATTTTATTACTTTGGAAATGGGAGAATACCCACTGGAGGGTGTCTCGACGGGCTTAAGGACTCATCATACGATCAATACGATCAGACAAAGCCAGTTTATTGCGCTGCAAACCCGTGTTTATATAGTTCCTTGCCATGCGATAGCTCTAATGTGATTGGACGCATGCACTGCCCACGCGCTGTTCACACGTACTTCTCAGTCTCTGATTCCTGCGACATCAGTCACGCACATCAAACTGCTCCTCAAGATCTTGTTTTTCTTGCTAATCGCGGTTAATGCAGGCCTCTGTTCCTCATTGTGACCTTGATGCCTGCTCCATTACTGGCTATCAAGGGTCAGGCCCAGAGTATCTGGAGGGCTCACCACATGGCCATGGTTCCCCCAACAGGGGGGTGCACAGTATCTTTTTTTTAGCTCTGCGAAAGCTTTACATAACCTTAAGTATGACATTTTCATATGTGATAATGTTGTGACAATTTTTAATTATTTTACCGTATTTAGTAAGAATTCCTAATGAAATGAGTCCGTTGCGTTATTACTACCTTCTTGCCTTCTGGAAATGTTGTCATTGCCTTTTCTGCCACCACCACAACAATTTTAAAATCCATTAGCCAATTTCAGCTGAATGAGACAGAGGAAATGACGATCTTGAAAGATACTGTATTGTTGCAAAATGTGTGGACATGAACAGCTGGAAGCAGTCCTTCAACATAGTACCCCAAACTGAGGAAAAGGAGAGATTATCTCTCAGCCATTATCCTGTAG